ATCATTTGCCCCCCTTCACTTTGAGTCTATATTTGTCTCTGGAATTGAGATGTGTGTCCTGAAGGCAGCATATGTTTGGGTCTTTTTATTTATTTATTTTATCCAATCTGCAACTGCGTGCCTTTTTATTGGTGAGTTCAGTCCATTTCCATTTAGGGTGAATATTGAATATGAAGTTTTCCTATAGCCATTTTATCTTTTGCTCTCTGGTAGCTCGATGTTTCCATTGCTTCCTTGTCCTTGTGTTTCTGTTTTCTTTATTTCAGTTGGCTTTTGTGGGTTTTGCCTCTGGTTCTTCTTGTTTCATGTTATATATTTCAGTTCTGAATATTCTGTGTGTAGTTACCATTACGAATATGTAAAGTATAGTTATATTATACAGTCGTCTATTTTCTTCTGTGCGTGCCTTATCTCCATTCCCCTTTGCAAATTTGGATCTTTGAATCTTCCCCTTTTCAGCCGTTGTTGTCTCAATTTTTCCCTATGTATGCTGAACGTTCATTACTATCTTGTTATAACAATTCTCTTCTTATTATTTAAGCTATAATGCCCTCCTCTTAATAAGGATTGCACTCCTCTGATTCTATTTGCCTAATAGTCACTTTACTATCATTTTGCATTTTTGTTGTTATTTTGTTTTAGGTGAACTGACCCCTTTCAGTATTTCCTCTAGTGCAGGCCTCGTAGTGGAGAATTCCTTCAATTTTCATATATCTGGAAAGGTCTTGATTTCTCCTTCATATCTAAGGGAGAGCTTAGCTGGATACATTATTCTAGGCAAGTAGTTCCTTCACTTAATAGTTTAAATATTTGATTCCATTCCTTTCTGGCTTGTAAGGTCTGTGCTGAGAAGTCCGATGATAACCTAATGGGTTTTCCTTTATACGTTGCCACTTTCTTCTCCCTGGCTGCCTTGACAATTCTATCTTTGTCGTTGATTTTTGATAACTTTAATACAGTGTGTCTTGGTGAAGGCCTTTTTGTGTTGAGATAATTGGGTGTTCTGTTGACTTCTTAAATTCTAAGCTCCAGCTCATCATTCCTTAGATTTGTCTGAAAACTCTTTCTAGTCTCTGCTCCTTTTCTTCGCCTTCGTTAATGCCTATTATTCTTATGTTTCCTCTCCTGATGGTATTAACTAATTCTTATATTTCTCTTTCATTATTCTTCATTTTTCGGTTTCTGCCTTCTTCCAATTTTTTTCTAGATTTCTGTCTTCGATATCACTGATCCTTTCCTCCATTTGGTTGACTGTTTCCCAGGTTTGCTGTTTCATTTTTCAACTCTTGCAGTTTGTTCTTCATCGCTAGAATATCTGTTCTGTTCTTCTTGAGGGTCTCAGTCTCTTTGTTCTGCTCATCTAGTTGTTTTTTTAATATCTGAAATTGTTGATATGAAAAATCTCATTGAGTTTTTTCAGAAGTACCATCCTGAAGTCTTTGTCATTTAAGTTGCATATTTCTATGTCTGTAAGCTTATTTTCTGGAGGTTTTTCTCTTTTTTTCTGAGTTGCGTTGTCACCTTGGTTGTTCATGGTGTTTAATGGACTATTTCTGCACCTGGGCATTAATGGAAGTGTATTCTCTTGTTTTTTCCAGAAAGAAGATTTATTAAATAAAGTTCTCTCTTTAGCCTGCTGCAAAGAAGGGACTCTTCTTTGGGTTTCCAGTAGGTGGCGTCTAAGCCTCTTGGATCCCTAGCAGTTAGGGTAGCGTTTGCTCAGATTCCCCTGCGGCTGGGTCTGGGAAAGTATGGGGAGAGGGGCCCTCTAGGTCAGGGGTCAGGAGTTGGGGGCTGCGTTTCAGCCTCCGTTTTGCAACCTTGCCAGCAAAAATCAACTATTGTTCCTCTCTGGTCTTGCCCCACTTCTCTGCTTTCTGCCCTGATGACTGTGGCCTACAGCCTGCCGGGCACACCTTACAGCTTTCCAAGGCAGAGCTGTTCAAGGAGCTCCTGGCAGGAACTTGAGCTTCTTCTCCCCTCCCCCTCCTCATGCAGGTTGCTCCAGAGGCTGTGAGAGGTAGCTTCAGTCTCAGCAGCATTTGCTCAGATTCCCCTGGGGCTCCATGGTGATCCATCTCAGAAGCATGGGGCCCTCTGGATTAGGGGTTGGGGGCTGCGGCTCATTCTAGTTTTTGCAACCGGGGCTGATAAAAATCAGCTGTTGTTTCTCTTCGGCCTTGCCCCACTTCTTCGCTTTCTGCCCTGATGACTGGGCCTTCCGGAAGCCCCAGCACTTCCAGGTAGGTTTGTTCAGGAATATCGCTGCACCTTCACCCCTCCCTCTCCTCCTACAGGGAGCTGAGGCAGCTAGCTGCTCAAGGCAGCTTCTTTATTACTCTCAGTCCTCCGCCCGACACCCAGCGTTCTGACCTGTGGTAGCTCTTATGTGCAGATCCCATGCTCAGACGTGTTGGTGTGCAGTTTTGGTGTTTTTTGTTGAGTTTTAGATGTTCAGCTTATTGTTGTTCCAAGGGGAGAGATCTAGGGACTTCTCTCACTCAACCATGCTTTCACCCCTGTTTCAGGTTTATCTTTTCTGATGTCTGTTAGACTCACTGCCTTCACTCGAATCTCTCATGTGCATCTCCCATTTAACTCTCTGTAGGTACACTTACCATCGTTATCCTCTTCCCCCAGCCTACTTTTCTTAATGTATACCTCTCTTCAATGAATGGCTAGCAGTTGCCCAAGCCATATTCTTTGTCACATGTCTCATCTGATTACCAAATCCTGCTGATTCTGTGCTATAAATAACTTTAGTTCATCTATTTTTCTCTGTCTCTGGTGTCCTTACTGCTTTACAGCTCTATAGTTCAACAGTACTGAAATTCTTTCAGTAAATTTTCCAAGTGCTTTCTTGTCCCAGCCATCTTAGATACTATTCACGATTGCCCAGAACACTACTCCTTTCCTCTTCTACTGCCTGACCATTACTCTTTCATCAGATCTCACTTATTCAGTGAAACTTTTCTTGTTCAGATTGTGTTCCTTTCTATACTCCTCTACGATCTTCTAAACGTTACCTGTCATAACACTTACACACTGTGTTAATGGTCTCTCAGGCTAGTCAGTGAGTCCCTAGGTGGATAGAAATAGTCTGGCTTATTTATTGATGTATACTGCACCTAGTACATAAAAGATCCTAGGTAAATATTTATTGAATCAATGAATTAGTCCTTTTCCGAAATAAAATAAATAATTTCTCAGTTTTATTAAGCGTAATAGTATCCTTTAAAAGAAAAATGCCATTAAGTTCCATTTATCAAGTCATACTCATTAGGAACCAATTTTGTGCTAGGTACTGCCCACCAAAACCTTTTATAGTGTAGAGGGAGGGAGACAAAATGAAGAAAGTGCTTAAGCAAGTTTGCCTAGGACTGAAAGGAGATATCTTTGTTTGTCAGAGTCAGAGCACTTTTCCCGATGTTATTTGGATAAAAAATCGCAAAGAACAATGCTTGCTGTTGTGGACTACATGAGGAGACAAAAGAGGTAATGTAATGAGTATTACTTCTTTGGAAGTGTAACTTGTTACTGTTGACTACACTATAAATTTTAACATGATTATTTGAGGTGATGCAGCTGCGAGGTGCTGTATTTAATTTACGTGGTGCTTATATCTCCTTGTAATAATCCATGTTCAAGGTAGTGCTTTTGGTTAAATCAGTGTTGAGAACTCTAAATTCGAGTCCTAACTGTACCAGTAACAGTGTTATCTTTGCTGAATTATGCAACCTTTTGAGGCTTTAATTTGTTTCATCTTCAAGAGGATGGGAAAGGAGTAAGTTATTTTCCAGGTTACTTTTACTGTATTACTTCTCTTTTAACTTTTCTCTTTACTTTTAGCTCATAGAAGTAACTACAGTTATGTAAAAGTCTCCTTTACATACCTTTATTGTAAGATATAAGTTTCTTTTGTTGACTGAAAAACTATTGACTTAGGTGTTTTGTCACCAAAAAAGATCTATTCAGTGAAAAAGAAAGGGTTGCAACTCAGTGCATGCAGACATGGCAAGCCTTGAGCACACATTGCACAGCTGCCAAGATGGAGAGGTATTTATAGAAAGGAAAAAGGAAGTTAAGGAGATGGGTAGTTACAACCATAGAGCTTTATTGTAAGCATAGAGCTCTTCCTATAGGGTTCTTCTGATGCCATAGAGTGGGAAAATTCTTCCCATAAGCCCTAAATTAGCAGTCAATGTAGGGATTGCTAGAGCTTATGGTCTGGCTGATCTGGACTGCTCCAGAGTTGATCAGAACTTTGAAGAAACAATGTAGTAGGCCTATAACTTAAGCAAGTGGGAATTGATGTCTCATGGTGGATATGATGGCAGTGGCAGTAGTTGATAAAGAATGGGAGGAATAGGTGGAAGAAAAAGGAAAAGTTGTTTAACGCATTTACATTTTAAAAAGTTAATTCCTCTGTATCCTGCTCATACTGTTCTACTCCATTTTTAGAAAAAGAAGTGTTAAGCCTTTCAGTGTCTTTGTTTCTGATTAGAAAGTTACTTATTCACCTTATTGTTTTGTAACATTGTCATCTGAGAAAGCCCATAAAAAGCTTTAACTACAGCTGGAAGCATCTCTTTTCTTTGGTGTTGAGAGGCAGTTTCACCTTTGAATCATTCATTTCATATATATCATTGAGGTAGAATGATGCTGACATTGGTAGGCCTTGGAGAAAATAAAAATTCTTAATATCCAGTTTTAATTCTAAATAAGACTAAAGAAGATTCCTTGAGAGAATATTAATGAGACATAGAATAAAGGATAAGGACCTGAGTTTAAGTCTAAGTCTGATACTTAGAAGCTTTGTATTCTCTTAACTTCAAGTTCCTTAAAATAGCTATAATTAAGTATTGACTATATAATAGGCACTTATTCATCAGCCTTATAAGCATTATTTACTCATTGCAACTATTTTCTGAAATATATATTGTTCCTAGGTTTTACAAATGAGGAAACTGAGGCTTAAGAATTTAAGTTGCCAAAGATTATACAATTTGTAGTAGGTGATCCAGCTATATTTGAACCTAGCTGTATTCTACTCTCAAACCAGTTGCTCTTAACCACTACCTTGTCACATCTCTGTAATGTTAGTTTTAAAAAGATAACATCTATGATCTTTTCCAGTCTGGCCTGCTGTTGCCACAGTGGAAGGTTTTTGTTAAATAACTCAATTTAGACCATGAACTAAGGAGAAAATGAACTACAAATAGGAAAGACATGTAACTATGTCTTAAACAATATTTTTGTTTAATTGGCCATTTAAAAAGATTCGTATATGTGTTACTAGTTGTTTTGTGCAGCCTATTCTTAGCTATGGTCCCATGGATCCCTTGGTGGAGAAGTATGAACCCCAGATTTGTATGGGTTGATGATCTATAGCTTTCATCAGGTTTTCTAAAGGGTGTATATTTTAAAAAGAGTGACAGGGCTCTTTAGCTGTTATCTTAGATGTATAGCTACAGTTGGCCCTTCGTATCCACGGGTTCTGTATCTGTGGGTTCTGCATACACATATTTTAACCAAAAATATTGGAAAAAAGAAATGTTACCTTGTTGCTGACATGTACTATGTAGTTAGGCCTATGATGGTTGCATCTGTGCTGAACATGTACAGACTTTTTTCTTGTCATTATTTCCTAAACAATACAGTGTAACAACTATTTACATAGCATTTATATTGTATTAGGTATTTTAAGTAATCTAGAGATGATTTAAAGTATATAGGAGAATGTGCATAGTTTATATACAAATACTGTGCCATTTTATAGGGTACTTGAGCATCTGTGGATTTGGGATTCTTGTTTGGTGTCCTGGGATCAATCCCCTGCAGAAACCAAGGGACAACTGTATATATTGGAGAAACGTGGTTTTTGGTTATTTGAATGTAATTTTCTTTTTCACTAGCACTTGTTACCCTTGTATTCAGTGTCAACATACTTTTAATATTGAAATTAAAGAAATGGACATGACTTCATTTAAAATTTTTCTTTAGATCTTCTGGCACAGTGTTCGATGACGCTTTCTGGCTGGAGTTGAATTATCTAGAGGTTGCCAAGGTAGCTCAGTCTTGTGCTGCTCACTTTACAGCATTGCTCTATGCAGAAATCTACGCAGATAAGAAAAACATGGATGATCAAGAGAAAAGGTAATGGAATAGAAGTTTTGGTTTTTAAAATTAGTGCTGACATTGTTTTAATAAAGGTATATATTAAAGATTCAATCTTACTGTCACATTTAAAAGATATTTTAGATAGAAGTTTTCTGTCTTTTAAAGAGAAATGATAATAAAATTTTTAAAAGAAATAATTCTACTCTGAAATAGAGATGTTTATTACTTCAGAGTTATAAAAATTATACAGATAGGGAACTGCTTAGGGACAGAGACCATACTTATTTTTCCCTGTATTCCTTATAGCAGCTAGCATTGGAAACTTAATATAAGTGAACAATAAATATTTTTTGAATGGTTGAGTGATTTCCTGATTTCATTAAGTTTACTGATACTCCCTCAGCTTAGTCAAGATCCGTTTTACTAGTTGATTGTGAGTAATTAACTGATTTCTTTCTGTGACTAAATCACTTTCATCCTGTGTTATCTACCTGTACTTTTAGTACTTTAATTTGCTTTTCCTCTGAGTTAGAACACTCATAATAATCGAATAAGTATAGTACTATTGTAAAAAAAAAAATAGTAAAAAGCAAAGAAAGTTTAAAGGTAAAAAATAGTTTATAATTCCAGTGCCCTCCCAAATTTTTATTCATTTGAAATAGCCTAGTGTTTTTTGTACTTCGCCTCGCTTTCAGACCACAAAATCACTTATATTGCAAAAGTGAAATAGAAATATGTATTATATTGATATGTTTCTCATGCTTGCTACTTATTTCTACTTTGGATTGCCATTAAGCTGGAAGCATATGATTTTTAGACTGTAGAAAACCAGGAACCAGAATTCAGATGCTAGTCCAAATGTAATTAACTTAGTAGACTTGTACTACTCTCTGGTTTGGTATTTAACTTCTACTTTTTGAGTGAAAACAGTTAAAAATCTACAATATATAGATCATGTGTATAATATGTAATTGATATGTTCACAGTCACTATAGACTTCCTATGAAGACAAGCATGTTATTTAAGTATATAATGAATGAGAAATTGGTTATTGCCTATTCTTAGAGTCTTAAAAATTTGAGTTAGGGCCTGCGTACTTGGTAGTAGTAATTATAATACCAATGTGCTTCAATATCTTGCGTCCATAGAATGGTATTTCTTATTAATCTGGAGTGTATAACTGAGTTCTGCTGTGAGTATAAATAAAATCACCTTTAACTTGAGGGTAGGTGATTATATAGAATGTGGCAGATTTTTGCAAAATTGATTATTTAGCAAGCCGGAGTGCCTAGGTTTTATTTTGGTTAACTTTAAGAAAAAGTACTTGACAGTTAAATAGGGCTCGTTGTTTGCTTAGACAGTGTGGTTTTGATTCTTTTTCATGTGTCTGATGGGAAAGGGATGGCAAACAGAGATAATGAGGTTTATAGAGGGTACGGAATGATAGTTTTCTTCAGTGACTCAGGTAAACTGAGACTTGGTAAATCCAAAGTGATCAGAAAAAGTATAATTGTAAGCAAAATACAGATCAAGAGTTTGTAAACACTGTCAGGTTAAAGAAATGAATTGCTCTCTTAAGTGTCCCATTCAAGTTATTTAATAGCAAAGTACCTCCATGCTAGATATTTAAAAATACATATAAAGTTTTATTTATTTGTTACCTTACTCCAGAAAAAGTATGAGATTTCAAAGTTAGTGTCCATATTTTTTAGAAACAGGTCAAAACTCCTTCAAGTAGGATTTAGACAATAGGTGTTACCTAAATCATTTTAGTAATCTTGACGTCCTAGCAACTGTTTTTTGCCTGGATGAATGACAGCCTTAAATTTACAAAGTCATAATCTCTAACACAATCTTTCTTACTTTCCAAATTTCTCCTTTAAAAACTAGCTTTTTTCTGTGACTTGCCAGAAAGGAAAATACCTGTAATACCTACATATAACGATTACATAGCAAAATAGAACATTGTCAGTAACATTAAGTCAGTCAGTGGTCTCTGTGCTCCCTCTAAAAGAATAATGTTATCTTCCATTTTATGTTTGTCATTCATTTGGATGATACTGGTTTGTGAGTATGAACCCATAAATATAATGTAGTGTTTTTATTTTCGAGCTTTATAAAAATTATATGTATACTTTCTACAACTTGTTTTTTCATTCAGTATTTGTAAGATTTATCTATGTTGTGTGTTGCTGTAGTTCATTAATTTGTCACTGCCACATAATGTACCAGTGAAAGAATATGCCACAATTAATTTATCCATTCCCCTGTTAATGATATATATTTAAGTATAGAATTACTAGGTTGCAGGATATGCAAAATTTCAACCTTATAAGATAGTGCCAAATAGTTTTTTCAAGTAGTTATACTAATTTACATACTTCTCAGTAATGTGGTTCATGAGGAAGTAGATCAGTAGGAAACTTTATATTTGAAGAAGGAAGCCAAGGTACAACTATTTCTAATTTGGGTTAAAAAAAGTAAAGAAGAAACTGGAATTCAAGTTTACAGGTATAAAGAATAGCGGTATTATCACTTGTGATAGTATTTATTTTATACAGTGGATTATTATTATCATAGACACTATATAGCTGGCATGATTTTAGAATTAAAATTACTTATAGGACTGAATATCATATATGTAAATGCATGGTTTAAATATAAGGCCTTGTAGTGACAGAAAGAACTCTATGAGAGGGGAACACACAATGCAATATATATATGCCTTACGGTTAAATTGTACACCTGAAACTTACTGGATTTTGTTAACCAATGTCACAAAAAAAATAAAATTTTTAAAAAATTAGAAATCAGCTGAACCTAAAAATCAATCAATCAATCTATGGCCTTGAAGTAGACAAATCTGAGTTCTAATCTCTACCGTCTGTCACTTATTAGTTTTATAATCTTGGGTATAGGTAGATCTTACAGATCCATTTCTTTGTCGACACTTAGTATTTTCAGACTTCTTAATTTTCGCCAATTTATCAGGTATTAAGTGGTGTCTCAGCGTGGTCTCAGTTTGTATGCCAGTGATTAATAATGAAGTTGAACTTTGGGTAAAACCACTGGCAGATGACTAGGAACTGAATGGGGATCAGCTTCTCTGTTTTTAAACAGGCCTGTGTCCATAAACATATTTTGGCATATAGCCTTCCCATATATGAGATTGTCATTAAAATGTAATTCTCATTGAAAGAATTAATCACAAATTTCCGTTCTAAGCCAAAATGTATTGTGTTTTAACGAATAGTTTACTATGTATTATTTGTAACCTTTGTTAGTTTTTCCATCAAAGTCTATAGTACATGTATTAATAAGCATCAAAATAGTATATTCTCATTAAAAGAAGTATTCTGTGACAAACAGAAATCTTATGTTTGAAGAAGGAAGCCAAAGTACAACTATTTCAAGTTTGAGTGAAAAGAGTAAAGAAGAAACTGGAATAAGTTTACAGGTAAATATTACAGGCCCTATTATTTGTGATAATATTTATTTTATATTTTGGATTAGTATTTTGTTATAGAGGCTATATAGATGTCATTTGATTTTCAAACTGAAGTTACCTTTGGACTGTCATGGTTTAAGACTTAGACTTTGAACTAGATTGACTTGAATTCTAATCCTCACTCTACCACCAAATTTTATAATCTTGCACAAATTACTTAACCTTTCCAACCTTGAGTTCCTTTATCTGAAAGATGGAAATAAAACCACCTTATCTCATAGGGTAAATTTATTCCATATATTTTCTACCACAATACCCTGTTCGTTTTCCTTACAGCACTTAACATTTATAATTACATATTGTTTACTTGTTTATTATATATCACATCTCAGGGCAGACTACTTCTTCTGTAAATTTCTTAACATCTACTCTTAAATTGGCCTATTCTTACTGAATTTCTTTGGTCAACTCATTCCTCTAAAATGACAATTTCAACTTCTTTGCCTAAGCCTGTGGTCTTTTCTTCTCTGCTTTTGATTTCAGCTTGCCTCCTACTTCTTGGAGAAAACGGGACATAGATAGGAAGCCCCACCACAGCCTGCTGTCAGACATAGAAATCTCCCTCCATCTGCTCCCATTGTAACCTTTTCTCTTGTTAAAATAGAGTTTCTCCTTCTGTCCAAGACTAATCTTTCTTCCTGTGCTTTGTTTTTCATCAGCTCTTTCTCGGAACATATACATATTCAAACATATCCAAACATTTTCATATTTTTTTATTAAGAATCTTCCCCTTCAAACTAACACAGAATTATTTTCCTCTTCCTTGTGTTCTGTCTTTTTAAAGTGTCACCCTTTTTTCTCCTTTCTCTTCACAGGCAGACTTTGTGTAAGAATTATCTATATATTTGCTGTCTCCATTTCTTCTCCTTCCACTCTCTCAACTGAAGTAGCACTTGCTAATGTCACACATAAACTTCACATTACTAAATCTGGTGGTCACCTTTCATTCAACATCTTCCTTAATGTTTCATTAACACTTAACACCATCCAGCCATTCTTTGTTTGAAATATGTTCTATCTACCATTTTTTTTATTCCGTTTGTCTGATTTTTCTTCTTTTTTTTGCTTCTTTAGTCTTACTCTTACTGAGTTTTTGAGTACTTTCTGTGTACCAGGCACTGTGCTAAACTTAGATACTGAATATTCCAACACTGAGGGCTTGATTTCATGTTTATGAATAGAAACAGTTTAATTACAATTATAGAATTATGCCAATATCAGTGAATTTTTGTTTAGAAAATTCTCTCTGGAGCAAATACAATGAAGGCAGTTAAATTGCTTGATCAGTTTCTATGCAATACAGTTTCCAACTTTTTAAGTTTTCTGTTTTTTTCTACTTCTATTTTACTAGTGATTTAAACAATTTTTTTCTGCATAAATTTTACAACAAAAATCTATCAAACCACTTTTTATCCATGTCACATTTTACCAATTATAACATAATGTAATTTTGAGTTTTTTCCCAAAGAAACGAAAGAGAGATCTTTATTTTTACCAAATTGTTTTTAAAAGTCAGACTTTGCTTCAAAACATCATTTTCATCTACAGTTTTAGCTGTTGACAGGATTATTTGTTTTTGTTTTTATGATTATTCTTGCATGTATTAAAAGTCTGATAGGTTGGGATTTATTTCTTATCTAATTCAGGAAATCGTGAGCAATTTTTCTGTCAGTACGTAATCATTCTTTTGTCTCGGATCAGTGTGTTGTATTGCTAGTCCACATGTTTTAGTATATATTTCAATATCATTATATATTGTAACATAACATTTAGAGTTGAAAATTACATGTCAGTAATGATATAATTTCCAATTTGCTTAATTCATAAAGTGATATTTTTCCTCTCCAATTTTTATTGTTTTCATGTTTTTAGGATCTACTCTTAGAAATCTACAGAAGTATAGGAGAGCCAGATAGTCTGTATGGCTGTGGTGGAGGGAAAATGTTACAACCTCTTACTAGGTAATTGCATTTTCCTAGGTAATGTTACAGTAATTCTGTTTGTGAAGGAGTTACATCCATGTAGAACTCAAAGGTATTTTGAAAATCTTTAATTTTAGACTAAGAACATATGAACATGAAGCAATGTGGGGGAAAGCCCTAGTAACATATGACCTTGAAACAGCAATCTCTTCATCAACGCGCCAGGCAGGAATAATTCAGGTATTTTTTTTCTGCTTTGGTAAAACACTACAAATGTAATGCTGAAATTATTTCATTATGTTAATGGAATATTTACACAACCAGATAAACTCTAGGGATAAGGCTGAAAATTACCTGTTTTTCAGGCATACAGCTAAAGTCTCAGAGGGGATACGTGGGTAAATTGACCTAAAAGATAGTGTAGATTTGTTAATCATAATCGTGTTACCTAACAGTAGAAGACATTTGACTGTATACAGTGTGCCAGGTGGTGAAGTAAGTCCTTCACCTGGAAAATCTCATGTAAACTATTTCTTATAGTTTGCATTAGAGTTGGTCCCAAAAGCTATAATATTCCTTAGCCATTCTTCTACCGAATATTAGTCTTTGTGTTTTTGGTAGAACATAGTAATCAATATTTTGGAATTTTAAGTGATATATTGTGGCCTACTAAAATTTTTTTATAGTGACTTTTCATGTTTGATTGCTATTTTTTGTTTCTCTAGTTTTCTGTTATCTTTGATTACTTACTTTTTTTTTTTTTTTAAACTGTTACTCAGGCCTTGCAGAATTTGGGACTCTGCCATATTCTTTCTGTTTATTTAAAAGGATTAGATCATGAAAATAAAGAGTGGGGTGCTGAACTACAAGAGCTTCATTACCAAGCAGCATGGAGGAATATGCAATGGGACCACTGCATTTCTGTCGAGTAAGAACCCTGACACTTTTTATCACTATTTTTCTCTAGTTATAAACAATATACTGTTTTTATCTTGCTCTATGAATATAACTGGAGTTCTATTTTTGTGTCGTTTAGATGCAGCAAGCTATAGATATGCCTAAGTGCTTAAATTAGATAGCAGTAAGCAGTTAATATACCTAGGCTTGAATTTCACTCTCTTCTGTTAGGGCAACTATACCCTCCCTCCCAAGATATATTTGAAAGTAGAAATATAAAAAGTATATTCTCAGTAGAATCTTCTCACTTATTGGTTTTAAATCCAAAGAAAAATATAGATATTTCCCTCCCTACTTCTGCTACAAACATTCTAGATAGCATCTTTTCTAAAAAACAAGCTCTGGCCAGTTCTATTAAAGAAAAATTTCGCATAATTTACCTTTCACCAGTCTGTTCTGGCATGCTTCTAATGATGTCAGAATCATCTGGATCAATGACAGCCAGTTCACATACGCAGTAGGATTCTCCACACACTGTGCCCAATTCAATATTATTGTCACTGTAGTGATGGACACCACTCTTGGCCAGCATGGCATAGTACTATATTTCAGATCTTCTCAAGGCTGAGCGGTTGTTTGCAAGGATGACCAGTTTTGCTTTGCCTTGTCTGATCATTTTCAGAGTGTGCTTATACCCCAGCACATACAAGTTGGAGTAAAGAATTGATCAGTTCCAGTGACTTTTTCATCTTCTTTGCGGCTACTATCTTCCTGCCTTAGGTGCGGGAGGGCCCCCAACCAAGAGCAGCTGCCAAGATGGCTGGGGAGCCTGAAAAGGCCAGATGGCACTTTTATTTGCTAGATGGTACACAAAAGACTGCTTATCTTTATTTATGAAATGTTTTCTTTGATATAAAAAATACTGTTAAATCACTAACACTAGAAGGTAATGTTTATACCCTATATGTAAGATCACCATGTTTTCTGAATGAAAAGCCAAACACTTAATTAATAAAAGATTTTGTATTTATGTTAAAAAGACTTTTGATGATATGAACACCAAAAAGTTAAATCACGTTAATTGCATGTATAACTGCCTTCATAGAAAAAAGATTTTTTTCATTAATTGGAATGTCTTTCAAATTTCAAACTATTAGATTGCTATAAAATTAGAGATATGCTTTTATATTTTTAAAATATTTTACTCTGTGAGCTTATTCCTGCTTGCCTATGTAAGTCATTATATACTATTCTTCCCTTTGCCTACTCTCCTTCAGCCACATAGGCCTCCTCTGTGTTTTTTAATTAGGCCAATCTGATTCTAGCTAAAGGCCTTATATGTATCTTCTTTTTTCCTGTTACTATGTGTATGGCTTCTTGTCATTCAAATTCTAGTTTAATAACATTACATCTCAGACCTTTCCTGTCCACTGTTTTAAAGTAGCTACCCAGTCATTTTGTCTTGTTACCCTGTCTTAAATCTCTGGATGTCCCTTGTCACTATTTCATATTTTTCTTATTTATTATCCATCTTCTCCAAACCATAACATAAATTCAATGAGAGTGATAACCTAATCTGACTTGTCCACTAATGGATCCCCAGTATCTAGAACCTGGTGCCTACTGTCTGGCACACAGTAGGTGTTTATTGAAGAAATAAATGAGAATATAGCATATCTAGAACTAGGCAAAATATGCGAGAAATTATTTTTTCTGTTTGAAGCATTTAAATGAACAAATTCTTTGTATTTCTTACCAAAATTTCTAGAAATGCTTTTTTTAAAAAATGTAGAAATCTTAATTTTAGTTTTAAAATTTTGTGTTTTGATAAAATTATTTTTATATGCGTATCTTAGGGTTCTTTGTTTTTAAACATATTTTTTTCTTTTATTTTATCTAACAGCAAACAAGTAGAAGGAACCAGTTACCACAAATCATTGTACAATGCTTTGCAGTCTCTAAGAGACAGAGAATTTTCCACATTTTACGAAAGTCTCAAATATGCCAGGTATTAGAAAAAGTTATTGTATTTTAACATTTAATGTCATGGCTTCTTTTCTGAAACTTGACAAATGATTTCAGTGTAAGGATTTGCACTGGTGATGGGATAAGAACTTGGTGGCTATGGTCAGTTTGTTTCCTTGTCATTCCTTTCCTCCTCTCAAAAGAAATTACCTGCGTAACTATTTATACCAATAAATGTTGAAATGCAAATAATACCGAGGTGGGGAGGGGGGAAGCAGTACCCAATGATTAACATTTTCATAACTTTTGCATATCTGAGAAATGAGTGATGAGTTTATCTTCTGCAAACATGTTTTTATAATTGTGGGTGTGCCTATCTTAATTGTTTTCCATTGTCTTAAAAAAGTATTCTTTTTTAAATGGAATATGTTAGAGAATTTCTTAATGTACATTTGTCAATTATATATATTCCAATTTTTATTTTTTGTTTTATATGTAGGAACATGCTCACATGTTAGGTACTTACATATATGTTACGTAATTTTTTTCTAATGTAATACCTGTTTTTCTGTTTTATGTAGTTCAAATATATTCTTTCCTTTAAAAAAAGTTCCCTTTGGGACCCCAGGTCAGTTCTTTATGCTGAATCCTCAAGAAAGTCTTGTTGATTACCAACCCTCTGTCTTCTTCCTGGGCTACACTTGTCTCCTTTAGTGCATGGAATTTACCTCTCTTAGCATTAGTATTCTTTTTATAAAGTGCTGATTTACAGTCAATACTTACAGACTTGTTATAAGGCACAGTTGAGATAATGCACCAGAAAGTACTTAAGTGCTTACCTATAACAAGCTAAACAAATGTAACATATTGTTTTTTAACAATAGTTAGTGACCTAATTTATCTTATATTTTATTACAGAAATAGCATTTGCTACCATTTAAATGTGTATTATGTTTTAGCCACTTTGTTGGGTTCTTTTTATATGTATTCTCTAATCTTCAAAATAATTATGGAAGTGGAACTTAGGTTCAGAGACAGCCAGTAATGTGCCCAAAGTATACAGCCTTAATGACAGAACTGGGGTTTAGATTTAAGTTTGTGTGATTGCAAGACTTATTTTGTTTTCACTGCATTATACTGGCACTTGTGAGTACTAGTATCGTAAGGTCAAAATCAAAGCCTGTGATGAAAACTCATTAACAGTAGGTTTGAACTTTTATATTCCTGAAAACCTCTTCTTAGTTTTCAAAGTATCTTGTCTTTTTTGCCACTAGAGTAAAAGAAGTAGAGGAGTTGTGTAAGGGTAGCCTTGAGTCGGTATATTCACTCTACCCTACACTCAGCAGATTGCAGGCCATTGGAGAGCTCGAAAGCATTGGGGAGCTTTTCTCAAGGTATGTGATTCATATAACTTTGTAATCCTCAGTTGCAGCTTTTCTTTTACCAATAGTGACTTTAAAAAACAAAAAGAGACCAACAGTAGGTTTGTTTCTTTCCTTTCATCAAGATGTAAGTTGACTAGCCTAGTGAACTGTGTCCTTATTAAAATAAACATTTCAAAAATTTTTATTGTAAAAATTCGTTTTAAAAATTTAGCTTTATTATGCTTTCTTCTATACAGCTTTTTCCTTTTTCTACCCCAGATAAAAGTGTTTCCTCATGTTTTTTGCCATAGAACATTATACTCCATTCTGTTTTAGCACTGTATTGGCATTAGTGTCATTTTATATATACTCTGCCATGCTATACTAGAAGCTCCCTAAATGGGGGGGAGGGGGCATTCTCTTGTTTACTATTGTACCCCAGTGCTTTTTCCTCATGACTGATTCTTAGTAAACATTCAGTAGTCATTATTCAGTGACTGTCAGTGAATTTGGAGTAGATATTTAAGGGAGATTGTTATAATGGTAAGAAGGAAGTGTTCCAGAAATATTGGAAAATGAGATAAAACAGTTATTCAGGTTCTGTGGATCTAAGTTTTGATTTTGTGACCCTGAGGAAGTCACTTGACCTCTTTGGGTCTCACTTTCCTTATTTCCTCATTTATATTTTATGACCTCTAGGACCCCTTTTAGCCCTACCATTCTGAGTCACTATGATTATAAGAGAAAGGAAAGAAGATACGATAAAATAAAGTTTGGAATATGCTTTGTAAGTAGAACGGAGAGGGAAATTTTAGAGTCAGAAAATACTATGGCTTTTTCAAAATTGCATAGCCAAAGAGACAGCTGTTGATGTGGTGCTTCTCAGAGAATAAAGGAACAAAACTGCTTTCTGTTTTAATTAAAATGTATTAGTAGTTCTTACTGTTAACAAACCTAGGAACTTTTTCTCTTACCGAAAGATATCGTCAACTAAAGAGAGGGTAGAATTCCTTAAGAAGCCCCTAAAGAATAATGCTGGCTCTTTCTTTGGTAGAAAATTTTAAGGAAGAGGAAGAGGAAAGTTGGATGAGCTGGTGAACAAATACTTGCATTCTAGGAAAATAGTTCTGAAAGTGTGGTATGTCGATTCCTGGAGGTCTTCAAGATCTATTCAGGGGGGTCCATGGATCAAAACTATAATTATACTAAGATGTTATTTACTTTTTTTGCTCTCATTGTCTCATGAGACACAACAGTAAAGTTTCTGAGAGGTATCAGAGAAAAATATCCAGAATTATCTGAAAAGACTGTTAACATATTCCTTTTCAACTACATACCTATATGAAGGTAGGTTTGCTTCACATACTTAAACCAAAACATCATGTCACAACAAACCAAATGCAGAAGGAAAAATGAGAATTCAACTATATTAAGCCAGAGTTCAAAGAGATTTTCATGAAATGCAAAACAGTGCTTTCATATCACTAAATTTTATTTTGGGAAGTATGGTTATTTTTCAAAAAAAAGTGGTGCTTAGGATATATACTATTATAGTTTTAAAATAATTTAATATATATTTGATGCTTCTTTGTTTTAGTTTCTAATATGGTAAATATCAATACATATATTCCAGTAAACAGAAACTCTTTGGGGATCTTCAATAATTTGTAAGAGCATAAAAGGGTTCCTGAGATTAAAAACTTTGATACCTGCTGCTGTAGTATTATTTTGGAAAGTATTAAAGTTTTGGTTCCTATGAATTTGTGTCACTGTTTCCTTCTTTATCAAGTAACTAGAAAAGCTTTAATTTCCTTATCAGCACCTTGTTGTTGTCTTAATCTCTCTGCTTCACCTTAATTTCTCTCACAGTAGTCTTGAAGGATTGGACAGTATTGCTTAGTTTAAACATCTGGGAAGCATGCTGTTTATAGAAACTAATTGTACAACGTGCATTTTCTCTTCCTTTAATAAAGTTCATATATGAAACCTTTGCCAGATGCCAGCATTTCCTTCACTGCGTTGTGATTTATTTAACGGCTTTAGTTACGCATAGAGTTGGTGGGTACAGCAGGTAATTAATGAGCTGACTTCATTTCCTTGCTAGCATGTCCTTTTTTACTACAAAGAGCACTGAGCCAGGACTAGAGGTGTAGGTATCTGATATGATAGCCTAGATGAATGTGTTCTCCCTTTAGAAGACTATGTATTTAGCAGTGTTATTCTTTGTGAGTTTGAAGAGTATTTTTACGAAGTCTTTAAAAATATTCAAGCTGTGGTACATATATACAATGGAATATAAGAAGAGATGAAATACTACCATTTGCGACAACGTGGATGGACCTCGAGATAATCATGCTAAGCAAAATAAGCCAGACAGAAAAAGTTGAAAATCACATGATATCACTTATATGTGGGATATATATCTAAAAGCAACAAATGAATAGGACAAACAAACAGAGACTTATGGTCATGGACAATAGACTAGGGGTTACCAGAGGGTAGTGGGGAAGGGAGAGGTAGACGGGGTAAAGGGGGTCAAATATGTGGTGACTGAAAGAAATCTAACATGAGAGGTGGACACACAGTGTAAATATATATATGCCTTACTGTTAAAGTGTACAGCTGAAACTTATTGGATTTCATTAACCAATGTCACCATAAAAAATATATATATATAAAAATAAATAAAAATAAAAATATTCATCATCTGTGGCCTCTCTGCTAACCCTCAGAGATCTGAGTGTATTTTTCTAAACTTTGGTTCTTATTTTGGATTATGTAGAAGTTTCAGTGTTATTACCATAAAAACTCCTTTGTATTATACCTTAAATTTAGAACTTGCATGATAGCAATTTTTTTTTGCATTTCTCTTGCTTATGTGAATTCACTGATTTTGCTTTCAGATCAATTACAGATAAGCAACCCTCTGAAGTATACATTAAATGGCAGAAACACTCCCAGCTTCTCAAAGACACCGATTTTAGTTTTCAGGAGCCTATCATGGCTCTACGCACAGTCATTTTGGAAATCTTAATGGAAAAGGAAATGGAGAACTCCCAAAGAGAATGTTTTAAGGACATTCTCACCAAGCACCTTGTAGAACTCTCCATACTAGCCCGAACTTTCAAGAACACTCAGGTAATAGGATTTAAAACTATGTTTTCTCACCTCTCAACCTTTCCTTTTGTTACCTAGAAAATAGAAGGCATGAGTAACAAAGCAATGTCATTGAGAGACAGAGATCACTATTAAAATATGGTAAAGCATAATTGTTTTAAGTTTTTCCATTTTGGAATTAGACCTGAGTTTAAGCCTTGGACAAGGCACTTACCTTCTCTAAGCCTCAGTTTCCTGTTTATAACATGAGAAGATACCTAACTTACATTACCTAACTAACAATTCAATGATCTTGTATCTTGTATACATACACACATGTATATAAATGTGTGCGTATATATATGTATATATATGTATGTATGTATGTATGTATGTATGTATGTATAAATACATATGTATGTATAAATACATATGTATGAGAAAAACAGACAAGCAGACATAGGAGCTGGGGGAGGCAGGTAGAGATGTACTTAAGACAGTTCTGACAAATAGTCCAATCCTCAATGAACGATAATTACTGTTTTCATTATTATTAATAGTGGTAGTACTAGTAATAGTAAAAGTATTTATTCTCATATGTCATTTTCATTTCAGCTCCCTGAAAGGGCAATATTTCAAATTAAACAGTATAATTCAACTAGTTGCGGAGTCTCTGAGTGGCAGCTAGAAGAAGCACAAGTATTCTGGGCCAAAAAAGAACAGAGTCTTGCCCTGAGTATTCTCAAGCAAATGATTAAGAAGTTGGATGCAAGTTGTTCAGAGGTTACTTTTTTTTATTGGCTGAATTAATATTTTACTGTTACAAAAAAATTACTGTGCTTTAAAATATTTTTAGTAAGTCTACAATTTTATTAAAGCCTCGAAATTACTGATCCATAATAAATAAGTCTGAAAATTAGTATCTGTAAGAAAGGTATAGAAAGTTTTCATTTTTCACATTTGCAACAATTCTTTCAGTCCATTTTGTGGTAGATTTATTTTATTTATTTCAATGTTAAGCCTTTCTTTTTAACTTTCTATAGAATTCAAGTAGGGTATGTGGGAAACAAAGATGAAATAGCTACTATAAATTTGAAATAACAAAAAAAAGGAAGAGGAACTGTATGAGAGAACAAAAGTTTTTTAAAAAGCAAGTTGGAATAATTAGGTTGTCAGTCTAAATACTTCGAAAATATAATGTCTAATATTTTATCCAACATTACCTGTTAGCTACTGAAAACTTGGTTGCTTCTACAGCGTTATTTCTAGCATACAATGGACAAAGTGGAGACATTTCTAGAAATCATGAACTGTTAAAAGATTTGGTCACAATAGTGTCCTTTTCACACTCACCTAGTTAGCGAATATCAACTTACTATACATTTAGTATTGGGCACTTGTATAACATCTTCTGTTATTAGAGAATTCATCATTATATTAGAGCATTGGGAGCCAATATAGTATGATGTTTAAATATTGCTTAACATTATGAGCCCTGGAGTAAGGCTGCCTGGAGTTACCTAACCTATTTGTACCTCAGTTTTAGTTTCTGCTCTGCAAATTAAGAACAATAATACTCATTTCATAGGGTTCTTGTGAGATTAAATGAGTTAATATACATAAAGCCTTTAGAAAGTGCCTGTCATATGTAGGCTCAATAATTGTGGGTATTATAGTAATAATAATAAATAGTAGAGAATGATTATTTCATAAGCTTACATACTTGGATTATTTAAATAGTTGTATGGTGAAAGCAAATAAAAACATTTTTAACCTGCTTTTTTCTCCTACATGGAAGATATTTTTGTAGAGTCAACATAATGAATTACATTTTAAGATTTGCTTTTCATATACAGAATGATCCCAAGCTAAAACTTATATATACAGAATGTCTGAGGGTTTGTGGCAACTGGTTAGCAGAAACTTGCTTAGAAAATCCTGCAGTCATCATGCAGACCTATCTAGAAAAGGTAAGATTTTCTAGCAACCCTTAATACAGTTGTTTAGCACAAATACACTTGATCTTTTTATCAAGGCCAAATTTATTTCAAAAGCAAATAAAAATATGGTTTCATTTTTCCATATATTATTACTATTTTAGCTCTATATAATCTTTAGGGCAGAATGAAACAGAATGTAAGCCCAAATATGTCTCCTCTTTACCCTCACACCACAACAGCTACTCTTTCAACAAGTTATTTCTGATAATTTCTGTATCTACAAAACTAGATGATTAAGGAATATACAAGTCAGCCTTTATTATTCATTTATAGCCCAACCACCGTACAAGTAGGAGTAGGACTTCAGTACTACAGCTTCTCTCAGCCTTCCTGTTTCTCCCTTTCGTTCCTTTAACTAATTTTAGAAATAATTATCTCACTAAATAAGTGTGATGTAAAAAGTATAATATAATTGTCTTTAAATTTTAGAGAGCCCTTTGTTTTTACACAAATATTAGCTGTTACTATCAGAGTTATTCTGAAAAGTCAAGACTACTTCATGTATTTTAGCTGATATATAAATAAGTTAAACTTTAGTGTGAGTATTTCTTTGACCTGAATGATTCTTTAGATGCATTTAGTACCTGTAAGTATAATATAAATGGATTGTGTTTTCTTGAAGGCAGTGGAAGTTGCTGGAAATTATGATGGAGAAAACAATAATGAGCTCAGAAATGGAAAAATGAAGGCATTTCTTTCATTAGCGCGATTCTCAGATACTCAGTACCAGAGAATTGAAAACTACATGAAATCATCAGAATTTGAAAACAAACAAGCTCTCCTGAAAAGGGCCAAAGAGGAAGTGGGTCTTCTGCGGGAACATAAAATTCAGACCAATGACAGGTAACTACAAGTTACCTGTGTCTACAAGTGACAAGATAAACAGATATACATACAGTGACTATATGTATAACAGATGTCTACAAGTGACAAAATAAACAGATATACATACATTGACTATATGCATACAGAACCAGAGCATTAATTCATGGTTCTAAACTCATTGTAGAGTATATGGATGTTCACTTTCTGTTTTGCTTTTTTGGTTTCTTGATATCATAGTTGAAAAGATGTCTTGTTAAAATTAAATACAAAAGTTATCTATTTGATGTAATTAAACCTTTTAGTCAAACCTACCTTTGGTTTGTATATTTTAGTTTAAATAGAGAATAAAGTTAACTTAGTATCTTGGGTAGAGTTCATTTTGTCTTTGGTTGCCTAGGATAGCTTTTGAATTGCACAAACTAACTTTAAGAAAAAAGTTTGTTTCCTTTATAATTCTTAGAATTTTGCTTTTTCTCCTGGGATAAACACCTGATTTTTTGTTTGTGTTGTATATCATGTATGATTTTGTAGTTCCATAAAATTTGATTGCTTTTGTATTTTACTTTAATTATCCAATGCAAGATACATAATGAAGGTTCAGCGAGAGCTGGAGCTGGATGAATGTGCACTCCGTGCACTGAAAGAGGATCGTAAACGTTTCTTATGTAAAGCAGTTGAAAATTACATCAATTGCCTACTAAGTGGAGAAGAGCATGATATGTGGATATTTCGCCTTTGTTCCCTCTGGCTTGAAAATTCTGGGGTTTCTGAAGTCAATGGCATGATGAAGGCAAGTCATCTTTTTCAACCCAATACTCTACCCTATGATTTAAAATCTTATACATAAACCTGTCAACAGCATGGACTGTGTATACTTTGTACTTATACAGTGCTTATAGTACACTTAGGTTCAAGTACACCCAGGTCCTTAATTAGCTCCTAGCACTTATACAGTGCTTATAGTACACTTAGGTTCAAGTACACCCAGGTCCTTAATTAGCTCCAACAATGCAGGTTTATGTGGAGATGAGAAAATTTGAGTCAGTCTTTTTCTGTTTCTCTGCAGTTACCCCGGGAAAGTATCTAGAATGCTAGATTGGGGGATTTGCAAAGCAATTAAAAATGATGTGATGTGATTATATGTGGGTTTCTTTCCCCCTGCTTTATGCTTTTCTAGGCTTTTCATTTTTGTAATTGGAAAAAAATATTTTTTAAGAACACATCAAGGCAGCAGTATTTTGTAAGTTTTTATTTAAAAATCTTAGATTTTATTAATGACATCTAATATTAAAGTTAGGTTAACTAGATATAAAGGCAATCAATTTGAAGCTTTAAAGTAAAATGGTTCTTCTAAATGAGAAGAATGATAAGAGTCATAATAGAGACAACCAATTCCTGTTACTAGGGCACATTAAATCCTGTTACTTTTGGCAGATAGGGGACAAAAGTTATTCCATTTTATTACACACAGACTTCTCAGGAATCAAAGTCACCATAGTCCTCTGACCCATATTTGTCCGCCTTGGATTCACTGAAATATAAATAGTGCCAGCTATTCCAGTGGTGAATACAGTTTAATTTGATCAAATTCTGTGACTTAACAATGAATCAATCTAGAATACCCATCAGAAAGACTTTCAGATGAGATGAATGATGTGGAAAAAAAAAAGTAGTTGGTGAAGTTTTAGTAACAACCACAAATGGTTGTCCTTGTTAAAGAGCATTATTTTAGAATAATTTATTTACTTAGATGTGAGATTGTTTGAAATGCATTGTTTCTTAATTTTGTATTTTTTTAATTGTAGAGAGATGCAACAAAGATTCCATCGTATAAATTTTTGCCTCTTATGTACCAACTGGCTGCTAGAATGGGGACCAAGATGATGGGAGGGCTAGGATTTCATGAAATTCTCAATAATGTAAGTAAACCTAAAAATCAAAATTGCTTTTATTTTATATTATTATGTACTATATAAAGTATGTACTACTGTTCCATTCTTGGAAATGGAAATACAAAAAAAAATTTTATTCAGTCTTATTTATTATGCTACATAAGGGTAGAAATAAAGATTTCCTTTTGTCTGCTCTCATGGTATAGTCTCTTATTCCTCATGTACCTCTGTCTTGTACACATACTCTACCCATTACCATATCTAGTACAGTAACACATATCTTAATGTTAAACAAAATGAAAAGGGCGGCTGTGGATTTTCTGCTTTTTTGTTTGCATAAATCTAATAGTTCTTCATTTTCTGACAGCTCATCTCCAAGATTTCAACGGATCACCCCCATCATACTTTGTTTATTATACTAGCCTTAGCAAATGCAAACAAAGATGAATTTTTGACCATACCAGAGGCAGCAAGAAGGAGTAGACTAACTAAAAATGCACCTAAACAAAATTCTCAGCTTGACGAGGTATTTGGATTGAACATACACAACTTTTTGAATTGTGATACTCCTATTTTTCCAAAATAAGTTTAAATCTCGGGGATTCTACGAATGTGCGTCGTGACTATATTCAGTTTGTAAATCCTTTGTTATTATGATGCCACCTAAAATTGGTTCAGAATTCTTGAATATTTCTCAAAGCATTGCAGGTACCAGTAATATTTCACTTTTTTTCTTCACAGTAATGAGCAAAGAAAAAATAGATTTTGAAAGGCACCCAGGTCATTTACTCTTGAGATTATTATACTGTTAATGTATTATGTTCATAAGGTGAATGTTTTGCTTTGATCTGAGTGATTATAGTTCTTTCATTGTCTACATGTGTGCATAAATTCTTTTTTCCTTTCATTATTATAACTGAAAAGTTGAAGTGTCGGGTATTTTCTTATGTATTGCTTTTTGTTTTTGTTTTTGTCAAAAGGATCGAATTGAGGCTGCAAACAAAATAATACGTACTATCAGAAGTAGAAGACCTCAGATGGTCAGAAGTATTGAGGCACTTTGTGATGCTTACATTATGTTAGCAAATTTGGATGCCACTCAGTGGAAGGCTCAGAGAAGTATGTGTTTGAAAGAATGAGTGTTCCTTTTTTGCTGTTATTCTCTGTAGGGATATATTAATTATAGAGCCTAATATGTAAATATGTTTAAAATCACAAACAATACTGTGATTACAGGCATGAAAGTCTTGATAATTACAATTCACGTATGATCCAAAACTTAATTTTTATCTAATAGCTTCAACACTTCCCACTTTTTCACTTAATATCTTTTGGTGGAATTGATAATAGATGACTGCTCTGAGTGAATTAATTTGATTTCTCGAGGTAATTTTCTGTTGTAAGTACTTTTTGCAAAGAATTGCATAGAGATAAGTCCTTCAAAATAACTAAATAACTGAGAGTTTCAGGGTTAAAGTTTTTTAAAAATGATGTTGGTTACTCACTGTGCCCTAAGACTTAAAAGGCCTTGATTACCAGTGGGTGACCAGCGCTGTGAGCCACATTTCAGGGATCCAGCATAGGCAACAACCATCAGAGGATCGCTTTGTAGTCCTTACCGGGTAACCCTGAGCAATAAAAAGCAGTGGCTGACCTTTGTCTACGGGGGATCCTCTTCCAAGGGGCCACAAAACCAACGCATCTGGAGGCATGCACCAGATCACAGTGGAGCAACTCCTGACTAGTTCCATCAGTGATACACACAAAGGATGGTTGCAACAAGTACACAAGCCTGGTAGGGCAAATCCCACTCAGTAGAGTCAGCCCCCACACAATAACTCTTATCCTGTGGGTGCAGCCAGTTCCCACAATTAGCCTGAACATTAATCTCACCCACTGATCTACTAACAACAATAAAG